ATATCGATATAGATATATCTATATAGATATATCTATATATCGATATCTATATATCGATATCTATATAGATATATCGATATCTATCTATCGATATCTATCTATCGATATATCACATTTTTATGATATACCATCCTATGATATTTCAAGTAACATTTTTATGGCATAGTATACTTTAAAATTTTAAATTACCTTTCTAGGGCATACATCTATGGTATTTTTTATTATTTTGAATACATACTTTACTTTAGTGAAATTGTATTGCATGCTATACTATATATGTCACGATTAGGCTTTGCCTTCCGTGTGTGTGTATTTGTGTCTGTGTGTAGCTCCACACCCTCCTCACTCTATCTGTCAGCCACTCCCTCCTCATCAGCACAACTCCCCTCACCTGTTCACTCACCTGCCTCTGATCAAGCCACTATATAGACCCCTGCCTCTCAGACACACATTGCCAGATCATTGTCATGTCAATCCAGTCGACCTGCCTGCCCTGCCTCGTCCTGCCAGATTTCCCCCCTCGTCTCTCGTCTCGTCCTTGGGTTCCCTGCTGTGTCGCTGTAAGATTCCTGTCGTGTTCTTGGCTCATTAAAACCTGTTTCACTCTGCATCTGGTCTGTATTTGAGTCCTCCGACACACCCCGTGACAATGTATATAGTTTTTATCTCATATTTACTGGATACTATACAATATTTTGTATAATATTTTCAAAGAGGTCCTATACTTTGACATTGTTTATGCATATTTAAGGAATCGTATAATATTCTTCATGACATTATTATGACTCTTTAATGACATACTATGATATCTATATGATATTTCATGGCATATACACTATACTATATTTTTGTGGAATACTATACTGGGACATTTTTATGTCCTATTAATGGATGTTACTAACTCGGCATCTTCCCGGGAGTCTCTGTGCTTTCTCGCCTTGTAGGTTTCCATGGATTGTTTTTTACACCTGCACCATGGCTGTGCCTTCTGCTGTGGCATACTCCCTGACACTAACTATTAGTCACATTTCTATTACTTTCATTGCTACTATTACTATTTTTATTATAACTATCATTCTATTATATTCACTGCTGCTGTTATTATTATTTCTTTGTTTATTATTTCTGCAGTTATTATTTCTCTCATATGTATCATTTCTGTCATTTCTTAATTTTCCCAATTAAATATAACATGGATAGGTATCTGCATGCGTCAACCCTGGTCGTGTATGGATTACCTGCTCCTTTGATAGTAGTAATAAACTAGTGTGCTACCTGCTGTTGGTAGATCAGGGGTGGACTGAGAAATGCCTCCCTGGTCTTTATTAAACATGATTATATAGCACTGCAGTGAGAACACTGGTGTCTTATCCACACAGTGGAGAAGAAAAGGCCATTTTGATGGGTCCTACGTTAAGCTAAATGCTGTTTTACATTCAAATGTCAACTACAACACTGGTAAAGGATGTATCACTTAGAGCTGTAAATGTGGTACTTATTCATCATTTTAGAATGGGTTGAAATAAAGAGACAACGGATAATAGCCATATTGAAATATCAGGTATTTATTCCCAGTAGAGCTTCAAGCTATTTAACTTGAGGACTTCAGGTTTAATCGAACTTTAGGACTTGTTCGAGATTGAAGTTGTTCACCTCTCTGCTGTTCTCTACAGCTGCACGTTGAGTAACAAGCAGTGTCCATGTGGATTTGTGTGGATCTGACAATGGACCACACACTTCATACAACACTGAACTATAACAAGCATCTGATGGAGAACAAATGTGATATTCTGACATTTGAAGCTCTCCTCTAATCTAAATCAAATTTACATTGTCTTCAGCAAAAATAACTTGTCTCTTTGGAAACAAGTTACATTACAGTCATTTAGCATACGCTTTTATCCAAAGCGACTTAGGCACAGCTACGGGAGCAAATTGGGGGTTAAGTGTCTTGATCAAGGACACATGGACATGCGACTAGCGGAGCCGGGGATCGAAGCGCCGATCCTCCGATTGAAGGGCAGCCCTGCTCTCCTCTTAGCCACCGTCGCCCAGTTATTTTTCACTTTGAAACTCATGTAAGATAAAAAGTGCGTGTGCGTGTTTGATACTTGAAACATGATCTTAGTTTATTTTGATGTCTGACTCTGCTGGTGAGACACAAACAATAAAGGCAAAGACACTCACATTAAAAGACACACACACACACACACAAATTATCTGGGTTGACATGAGAGGTGATGTTGGTTCAACAACTAACATTCTACATCTGGAGTGGATTATAAAGTATATCAGCCTCTGGAGCAGCATGTCCTGTGTAGACACACACACATACACGATAATCTCTGCTCTGCTTCACTCAGGGCAAGAATGCTAACATACACACCACACACACACCTGTGGTGCCTGAATGATTGGCATGTTGGACTGATCAGTCTCTCAAGGAAGCCCATCCTTGTGTGTGTGTGTGTGTGTGTGTGAAGCATGAATCAGGCTGAAGAACAGAGACAGATAGCGGAATAAGAGGAGACAGGGATGAGAAACCTGATCTTTCTTTCTCTTCCATGTTTGACAGGCGATCATCGTCAAAATGTGTACTGTGTTGAAGTTGAATTTGAAATATGTGTGTGGGTACGTGTGTGTGTGTGTGTGTGGGGGGGTATGTGTGCACGTGTGTGTGTGTATGTGTGTGTGTGTGTGTGTCATCAGTTCCTGCCTATGCACTTTCCCAAGTAGAAAAATTACGACATTGGGAAGTTTTTAAAAATGTGGTCAATTTATCAAAATAATCCCTTGAAAATTCTCATCCAGCTCTTTTTGAGATGTGAAGACCAGGGTGAGACAAACCTAGCTCCCAAGATGACCAGACAGTTAGACTCCATCGTCATCCACGCGAGAACAGCAGAAATTGCCTCTTGTAATTTCCCAGTGGCACTGGTGTATCCAGAGCATTTTTAACTCAAGATAAAATATTCTTTGGTCTCAAAATCAAAAAAGAATAGGTTTTGTTGGGACAAATGGATTTGGCTGAGAGTAAATTTAAAGACTAATTAACACTGCCCATCACCGAAAACTGCACTAGACCTGTATCTCTCTACAGCTCTATATGGCACCTACATATCCAGCAACATTAGCTTTTAGTTGGAGTCGTGTTTGTGGCCACTCAGTGAATGTAAGTCTGATATTCACTCTCCTTTCAGCTCTGCTTTTGGTCTCCATCTTAGATCAATTTAAAAGCTGATGGATGTTTTCATATTTGCCTGATGTTGACCTTCTCTTCACTCACCCGTCTGTGTAGCTGCAGGGAGGACGCCTCATTCCTGGAGAACGTCCAGGAATGAAATGAGGCGGAAACAATAATATGCTTAGTTTTTTGATAACACATCTTCAGGAGAGACTCAAACATCTTAACTCAACTCTCCAGGATCCTCTGAATGTGGGAAATCTACAGTGATATTTGAAAATAGTATTTATATGTTTTGAATGTGTTCAGTATTGCAGTTTTTGTTTTGGACCTTTGAGAAAGGTCGCCAAACTTGACAAATAACTATGAAATTGACGCCCTTTCATCCTCATCAATTCTTGTCAATATAAGAATATATTTTAAGTTTCTATTGCGCTTTTTGGAATGAAGCTTCAAAGTGTCTGGCATCATATTTTATGATGCCATCAATGTGTTTTGATGTTATTGTGTATAATTGATGGCGCAATTAAAGTAGGTTCAAAATGCTGAACTTAATGCCAACAAATATACAGTAGATATTTGAACTTTCCTAAGGAAGGGGCAGGCGGCAGATGAACTGGGCACAGTGAGAGCAACGTTTTTTTAGACGACCATGCATGATGCGGTGTGAGCAAGGGAGCTAGAAGTTGCCTCGAGGAGGGAGGAAGCTGAAAGTGCAGCCTGCAATCAATCAAGCACATTTAAATTAGTAAAGTTTCCCTTTAAATGTATTATTATTATGATTTCATAATAACCAAAGGGGGACATTTACACATGGAAAGAAAGTACAAAAGATGTATCTATGTTCAATGTAATTAACTATATGTTTTCAATACATATCACAGGAAAGACAAAATTTATATGAAGCTATTCATTTTGGCATATTAGACCTTCTCTTACATCCTTGCCACCACAGGCATTGCTGCTGATGCATTCTATCAGTGTTAACCACATCACATGCTTTGCACATTTTCTTGTTGTAGATCTGCTGACAGCCGTCCAGTTACAGGGAATGGTTTTAAGAGCCAGTTTTTCAAGGGATAGGCAGTGTCCCAGGATGTAGTATCTAGCATTCACCCCACCAATGTCCCTGGTGTAAGCTGGATGGTGGCTGCCGAGGCAGGCCAACTCTCAAAATGTGGACAGTCTCAGAGCATCATGCAAGCTCCCAAGCAGTCCTGCAAACATGTAGAAGTCCCTTGAAAAGTGCCTTTCCATCTACAACATGGATTATGGAGTGCTAGCCTTCACGGTTAAAATAGTTGGAGAGGTACTCCTTATGGTACCATGATGTGTATGTGGGATGCATCAACAGCACCAATACACTGCGGTAGCCCCCACTTGTTCTCAATGTGGGCAGCCTTTTCTTCAAACTTCTTCTGGTCTGGGAAGCTAATTTGTTTCAGTGCCAGCAGCTGCGCTGAACTCTGGCACACACCAGCATGCAGTTGTTATGCTTCACTCCAAAACAAACTTCTGTACACTGACCCGGTCGCATGCTTCCACAGTGCAATCCCTTCTGTAGAGGTACACGCCAGCTTTAGTTTGTGTCCTGTGTCTCCATCACTGGAGGTTGCACAGGTAGAAAGATGCTTCTTTGGACATTCTGCAGTGGAAATTAGGCTGATGATGAGCATAAAATATAACGAGTAGAACTAATATATATATATAACTAATCGAGAGACTTTGCTCAAATGTCACGTATCAAAAAGACTTTTATATTTCCTTCTTTAACCTCTCAAGTATAAAAAGTCAGGTTTTTGGGGGTTGACTGTCAATTTCAAATACATTAAAATCAATAGGAGATGTCTCTAAAAGGTCAAAATCTATTTTTCACCCCGTGAGACACACCCAGATTTGACCTTTAGCTTTAGTTACGATGAAACTTTACAATCACTTAGTGTTTCTTTGTGATGATGGGGAGGATGAAGATCAGAATAACCTCAGTAGAATATGAACCAAAACAGACAAACTAAGTTTACAAAATGCATCATCCAGTATACTTTATTTTACGCATATATATGATACAAAAATAATGATCACAGTGTATTTTCATGGAAAAAGATTGAAATTGCAATAAACAGAGGTTGAAAAACAACATTTAATAAATTATATAATCAATATCTCACAAAGGAATACTGAGATATAATTAATACAAAACCCCCCAAATATATATAAAAAAATATTTAGACAGTATTTTAAAACAAGTGTCGAGTGTTGACTCTCTCTCTCTCAGTCCTTCCTTCCTTTTCTGGGCTCCGATCAGCCGCTCTCCCATTAAAACATCTCAAACTGAGTCAGTGCATTTCCCACTCTCACCAGAGCTTCCCATATCTGCACTCCAGTCACTAAGGATTCCCCACGTTCATGAGGGTCCGCACACTTAGCTGCCATCACAGCTGACGGGGATACTCATGACCAGCTGCAGGATGGGTGATGAATTCGAATTGTTAAGTTTGTTATCTGCTCGTTAGCATCTCGTTATTGTGTTACTCGCCTGCAGTTAGTCCAGCCGTCTCCAGTGGGACGGTACGCAGCGACACACTTCCTCGCTGAAGGAGAAACCTGGTTCACACCTTCGCCTCCTTACCTCACAGGGAGGCCTGAGACAACTGCAATGAAAAATAAAGAAAGCAGGATTTAGCTTCAAAGCTAATACCATGGCAGCAAAAAATAAGGTAGAACACATTGCTTTGGCAAGATTGTGTATCTCTCACAAATATAAAATGGTATAAAACTTTGAATGCAGAAAAAGACGTACAATGAATTTGTGAACTGCGTATCAACCAGTTTTGGTCTTACCCAGGTGGGTATGCTGCTGTGTCTGGATTAATAATAGGTAGATAAATAAGTTGATGGAAGCCTGCAATTTACAGCAATAACACCATAACTTATAAATGTAAGGGAGACTCTTTTAAAGGGTAAGAGATAGAAAGTGGTAGTTGTTGCCCAGAACATTACAGAAATGATTACATTGTTAAGTGGAAACAGTTTTGTAGGACTAGAAAAGCACTATACAAGTAGAAGACCATTTACCAGTTAGTTATTTTTGCCAGAAGTGGGGAAAATGTTGAGAAATCTAAAGGATTCATCCTCCAGGGAGCATGAATGTGCTCAGTTCATTTATTGGTAATGGATCTATTAGAATAAGACTGCTAGGTCATAAGATACGTTGTTTGCAAACTTGAAATAGTGACCTTAGGGCACCACTGCAGGAATGTTGAAAATAGGGATCATTAGCCTTTCACAGCACTTAACATGAAAAACATTTCAGAAAATGAATGGAGGGATGATATATGTATGTGGGCCAATCCAGGAGTTCTGGTTCCCTTGACAAGGGACTTTAACAACTTCTATCGCAAAATAATCTTCACAAATGAACAGAACCTTTTTGATTTTTGAAGAATAAATACTATTGCCAGAAGTAAAAAGCAAAGTTAGTTTATGTAACAACTACACCACGTTTATTTAAGACACGTAAAAAGCTTCAGAATTCAAGAAAGAGTTGAATGACACGATATCATAGAACAAAAGTTTAAAATCTCATAAGCTTGTGTTAACGAGCATCTAATCAAAACCCATTCAAAAGACCCATTGACTGCTGATCAATGCTGACATTGGCTCGACTTCACTGGTGACGCGAGCCTTTTGTTGTTGTTTTACTTTTCTGTCACAAACTACAAATTGCAATGTTACTGAATGGAGCCCATTATTCTTTGATTATAATCCACCTATCATACGATGGCATTTGTTTAATTGTGCATGTATTGTAGATACATTAATTGCAACAGTTTGTTAACAGAGAGAGGTCATCAATGCTCGCCGGTGTGAATGAAAACTAAAGACAAAGTGACATAGTAACTTAATTCATTTGGTCACTTATCGTCTACATCCATGATCCTCTGTTTACCAGGCGGCTGCAGCTTTTCAGGACAGCCAAACACTGCTGCAAATGATTGAGAACCACTGCTGCCTTACAAAGACAAACACTAACTACTTTCTTGTGTGTTCTAAAGGTCAAGGGTTACGACAAAGGTTTAGATTTCATAGCAGTAAAAACGAAAGCCTTCAGAACTGCTCTGTGATTTACAGCTCATGCCTGAAACACCAGTGCTTTTACCAGAACAGGATGTCAAACTGTTTTACAGTTTCACTTCTGATGCATTTATTGTTCTTAGACTTCACATGACAGTGTGGTCTAGATCCTGTTTTAGGGGATTTGTAAACTAACAAGAATAAAATCAAGTTAAGTAAGGGTGACTACTTGGATTTTCTGAACATAAATGACAAAAATTGTCAAGTGCATGTCACGTAAGTCAGCATGGGCAACAAAATAACACCTTGAAGCCCAAAAACACTAGCTTTGGCCTTCAAAAGCTGATATCTGATTAACCCCAGCCCAGAGTCAAGGCCCAACGATTACACAAGGAGCCATGGAATTCCAAAGAACACACGAAGCATTGGAGGGATGGAGTCCTGTTTTACGCAGCACTTACTCACTTTGTCAACACGACAAAGATTCTGAGACTGGCGTGTAATTGCCACTGCTTTTGTGGCTGCACGGGGTGTCACACAATATTTAGTCATGGTTACTTAAAGAGATCTATGAACCCATGATGAAATACACAGCAGAGTTCAAATAGACACACACGCTCTCTTTCAAACACACACACTCACAGCCACATACACACTAGGGCCAGATCCCAGACACTAGATTCCAACCGCTGTGTTATACTCATAAATCACTCTCAAACAAGGGCACAAAGGGTCAAGACTGGACGGCATGGATGGATGTGTGTGTGCTTCCTTCTGTGCGGGGAGAGGAAATGGTTAAGTGACAGCTAGGAGAAGTCATTAGCACAGTGAGGTCTTGTATTACACACTGGGTTCACTGCAACAACCACCAGTGCTTTCTCTAAACACAGCTAAACACATTGTGTGTGAATGTGTGTTGGAGCGGGGATTGACTTTACTGTAGGATGATGCAACCAATGGACCCACAAAATATAACAAGGAAAGGTCCTTGTTATATAGCTGCCCATTGCCACGCCATGACCACAGTGATATACAACGTCAGTCACAATCTTTTCCTAACCCTTAGTAGTTTTGTTGCCTAAACGTAACTTCCTGTGAAGATGGAGTTTTATTTTGAAAAGACACATGTACAGTAGCTAGTGCATATTGACACGGCGCCACTAACACTTCCAAGACTAGACGCTAGAAGGGCGTCATAGTTTGGAGCTTTGGTTTTTGAGGAGTTGGCCGTGAGAACGTGTACCAGGACAGCGTCTCTTCTTCCGTCTCCCCACTCGCCATGCGCAGGAGTGAGTTACTATTGGTGTCGACATGGACAATAATGCCTCTTGATTTATAATATGAAGTACATTTCTGTTCATCATAACAGTAGGTGCCGTTGTTCAGCTAGCGGGCCTAAAAGTGTCAGCAGATGTTACGGAACCCTCCACATCCCTCCTTACCTGCATGTGGCTTGGTGAAACCTCCTTCCCTTTAGGAAGCACTTGTTGGGCGACTCGTTACATTCGCAGGAACACTTTGTTTTATTGAGGGGCTGGTGCCGAGGACACGTCCTGCTACATGTGCACTGACAGGTGTCCTTGTTGAAGACGTGGTTGTGAAGGCAGGAGGGAGCAGGTGGAATGTTGCAGACGCACTGGCAGGTGTTGCGGTCAAGATGTCGGTTAGGGCCGCAGTCTTGAGTTTCATCCCCGAGCCGACACGCACACTGACAGGTCTCCACGTCCAGTTCCTTATCTAAGCCACAAACATCCGCTGACAATATGTCTGTAGAGATAGAAGGAGAGGGAGACACACAGATGGGGTTTGTCTCAAGTTTCTTCAGAATGGAGCACCAAACAGGATGGAATCTAAAAGTGCTTACAGTTTTAGCAAACAAATGGAGATGCACCTAAATCAGACTGAATGACTGAACATACACATTTTTCTTTCTGATGTCGTCTTAGTTCATTATATAAATGGTTGTGTACTTACAGCAGCATTTAACAGTTAGTTGTCATTGGACTGTGCTTGTTTGGCAAACCCTGTTGATGTTTCTGTTATATACTGTATGGTAATTTGAACCGTTTGTTGATATTATTGAAAGCTGTGGATTGATATTGATTTAGATGTGTTGTTTTTTTTATACATTTTCAAATATTTTCTTGTTTCAACTTCACTTTTCACAGTTGTATTATTGTATTATTTGGGCATTTTTAAATGTGCAGAGCTATAATTCACTAATATTCAGCTAATATTTAATGAAATGAGCATTAAACAAACTATGCAGTGTAATCAGCTCCACATTGTACTGCAACATCAACAACTGTATCTTCACCATGTGGGCAAGCTAAGACTGATCAGTTAGAGGTGATGTCAGAAATTCCAAAATTCATTGAACACAACAAAAAACTTTTTTAATGAGATATATATATAATATATACAGTCAGGGCCATAAGTATTTGGACTGTGACAACATGTTTCTAAGTTTGCCTCTTTACATGACTCCAAAGTATTTGAAAGGAAGCAGTCAATATGTGGTTGATGTAGCCTTTCAGCTTTAATTCAATGGATAAAACAAATATATTACATGAACCGTTATGGAATTATGGCCCTTTTTATACAGTCCCCTACATTTTCAGAGGCTCAAAAGTAATTGGACAATTGTCTGACAAACGGTTTCATGGCCATGTGTGGCCTGTTCTGTCACTATCTCATGACAAACGACGTAGATAATAGGATTCAAAATGTTATATTAGCATTTGGTAGCTGGTCCTTGGAACTCTCAGCATGCGGACCAAAAAGGTGTCAATGCAAGTGAATGAGGCCATTATTAGACTGAAAACACTTAACAAACCTATCAGTCAGACAGCAGGAACATTAGGTTTGGCCAAATAAACAGTTTGGTACATTCTTAAAAAGATGGAATTCACTGGCAAGCTCACCAACACCAAAAAGCCCAGAAGACCACGGAAGACATCTAAAGTGGATGATCGCAGAATTATTTCCTTGGTGAAGAAAAACCCTTCATAATATCTACTGAAGTCAAGAACACTGGAGGAGGTAGGCGCATCATTGTCAAAGTCTACGATCAAGAGAGCCTTCATGAATCTAAGTACAGAGGGTTCACAACAAGGTGCAAACCACTGGTAACACTGAAGAACAGGAAGGCCGATTAGACTTGAACAGAAAACATCTGACAAAGCCTGACCAGTTTGGGAACAAGATTCTTTGGACAGATGAAACCAAGATGAACTTGTACCAGAATGATGGGAAGAGACAAGTGTGGAGAAGGAAAGGAACTGCTCATGATCCGAAGCATTCCACATCATCTGTTTAACATGGTGGAGGCAGTATGACATGGGCATGTATGGCTGCCAATGGATCACTGGTGTTCATTGGTGATGTCACAGCTGATAGAAGCAGCAGGATGAGTTCTGAGGTGTTTAGGGCTAAACTATCTGCTCAGTTTCAGCCAAATTAAGCTTAAGCGCAAGTTCCGTCAGGAAGACACTCAGAGCCAGCAAAAAAAACTAAACAAACATAGCACACAGTTTGTACATTTCAATAGGCAAGCTTATGACAAAGCAACGGAAAAGACCAAGGCTTTTAGTACTGCACTCTCCTTGTAATTACTCTATCAGCTGATTGGGGGCGTGCACTGTTAAGTAACCAACCAGATTCTGCACATGTTTTCCTTAAGCCAATCACATCGTTGCTGTCAAATTTTAAATAGTGTTCTCCTCTCTGCTGCTGTCAGTTGTCATTTCAGCTTTAAGCAGATGCGACCCTCCTCCACCCCAGTCCCCTCCAGTCAGCATCACAGTCATGCTCTTGATTCATCATCAGATTGCAGCAACTCCTTTCACCACCACCAGTGTCTGGACTCCAGGGGGGATTAGGCCTATTGGACCTCAGTATCCCTACCCTCGCTGATATTACTTCAGGATGGAGTCCAATCGCCAAAGACTTTGCACTGTTGCATTGTTAAATTATAAAACAAGTCTCTCCTGATCGAAATGCTGCAAAACTGATTGGACGGCGCTTAACAGTGCAGATGGATGACCTAAAACATACTGTAAAAACAACCCAAGAGCTTCTCAAGGCAAAGAAATGGAATATCCTTCAATTGGCGAAGTAAGTCAACTGATCTCAACCCAAGTGAGCAGGCTTTTCACTTTCTGAAGATAAAACTGAAGGCAGAAAGACCCACAAACAGGCAGAAACTGAAGGAGGCTGCAGTAAAAGGTCTGGCAAAACATCTCAAAGGAGGAAACTCAGCGTTTGGTGATTCATGGGTGCCAGACTTCAGGCAGTCATTGACTGCAAAGTATTCAAAATAATGATTATATTCACAATTATGTTAGTTTGTCCAACTACTTTTGAGCCTCTGAAAATGTGGGGGACTGTGTAGAAATGGCTGTCATTCCTAAACGGTTAATGTAATATTTTTGTTTTATCCATTGAATTAAAGCTGAAAGTCTACACTTCAACCACATATTGACTGATTCAGTTCAAATCCCCCGGAGTTGTGTAAAGAGGCAAAATTAGAAAAATTGTGTCAGAGTCCAAATACTTATGGCCCTGACTGTATATAAGAATTACTTAAATACAAATATATTATCGGGACTTGTATCAATGTTTAGAATTGCAGAATAGAGCACAGTAAGTTGTATGAGTCTCATATGAAGTTACGGTTGTTAATTGAAACGCAAAGGTTTCACATGTGGTAATCTGTTGTACACGTTGGCTATTATTGAAAACACAACTACATGTAAAAACTGTGTGTGTTGTTGTTTGATGACACTGATAAACTATGACATTGAGACATTCCTGAAATGAACTAGCGATGTTTTTCTCTTTCCTCGGGGATAACACAGATGGTTCTCTTGCAGTACTGGTAAATCATCTTTTAGCTGTGAAACACAGGGAGAGACGGAGGGAGAGCAACGGAAGGGCTGGCAAACATACACGCATACTCTGTGTGAACAGACGAACAAACACAGATAACAAAGATACACAGTTTACTGCTGACAAAATACAAGCTGTGTGTACTCCATGTGCTTACACAGACTTTAACAACCTCAATCATGGAATGAGCTTCAATGGAACTTCATTTGCCGCTGAGGACAGTTTTCAAGCTAAGAATAAAAACTATACGAGACAATACGATTTATGAAGCTGTCTCAGTCTCCTCAACACTATCGTGAATACACTTTGCCCTGAAATGACTTCTCCATAATTCATAGCACAGTTTGTCATTTTACTCAAGATGACAAAATTCTGGATCAACATACATAGACCGAACACTGGACTTCTTCAGGTTAAAACCACCAAAAGATTGGCAATGTCTTGTGAATAGTGTGGACTGGAGAAGTAACCACTAAAAAGAAGGGAGATTTGTTGCTGTTTTTCGTTTGTAGTTTTTAAACAGAAAACATACCTTCAAGCCGGTATTCATCCATTTAGCCTACCTTGATATGGCTTTTCTGACTTAGCTAGTTCAGATAACTCCTCATTTCAACTTTAGGAATCAGCCGTTCCTCGTCCATTGCCGTGCTTTAAAAGCGAGACACAAAAATAAATGGAAACATGGCGACTGACAAAAGTTTGGCTCAAACAGTGTGCCGTGTTGCCGCTCAAAGCCAGTTACAATAGAAAGAAATCACTCACTCGCGTCACATTCAGTTAGGACACCTGGAATCTGCACAAAGGTCCTCACTGTTACATGTTCTTCATCTAGTGAATGTGTGGACTCTACCTGCCTAATATTGTCTGATTTTCCTTCTAGTGCAATGACTACTTGTTGTCCATGTTACTGTAGTCAGAGGTCAAAGTTGTTAGTTTCAAAGTGACTCTCCCATAGTCTGTATTTGTCACATATTTTTCATAACAATATGATCATCCATCTTCATCTCTACCTCCTCACACAAACACAATCCCGACATGCTCACTCTGTATGTAAAGGTCATTTTTAGCCTTTTCAAATCTATTGTTACATGTTTTGGGGAGCTCTGTCACACAGAATTATTTGTGTAATATTTCCTAATATCGAGGTATGTTCCACTTGGCTGTTGCCATGGTTTGTAAAACCTAGGTGCCAAATTTTGGTGTTGTGTTCCAATCTTTGCGGGGTGACTTTGCGGTCACTCTCCATCATGATGTCTGCATTGTGACGCCTGCTGCTCACTACAACTGAAATGAAAGATGGCACAACAGATTCAGAGTGATTTAGGGGGAGACCGTCGACAGATCCATCGAGCAACACAGAGTTATATGTCGTAGATATACTGTACAGAACCATCCACCGCACAAAATGTTCTAAACGCAATGGCTCCCAAAGTGGGTGCCGCAGAACCCTGGGGTTCCTTGATGATAGGCCAGGGGTGCCACAACTTTCATCACATCATTGTTAATCTATTGTGGTTTCTTTTATAATTTTTCACCACCTTAAAAAATATTTGACATTTACAATAACTATTCTTTTATGTTGTTTTCAAACACATGTTATGTTGAAAAAAGTTATGCCGCAGCTGACAACTCATGGCTGCTGGTTGTCATCGTAACATAGTAAGTCAGAGTTTCTCAGTTTTTCTGTGTTAAACAGATTTGACGTCTTAAACAGAGCTCAATGAAATGCTGAAACTCCTCAACTCTCAGTCGGAGACGGTTGAATCTGAGCCCACCAACAAAAATAAAACGCTGGTGTACATTAAAATAAGAACTGCGGGTTGCTCTGACATGTCCCTTTAAAAAAATGTTATCCGATTTTATTTTCTAAATGTTCCTTTATAGACCTGCCTCACATCTTCTCTGGAAGGTCACTCTGGAGGGCACTTCATCCCATTTTCTGGCCTATTAGGCCACCTTAGAGGATTTTGCAGCGTTTCTTTTTTTCACAGATAATTTATTTTTCGGCCATGTAATACAAACAGCTGTGGAATCTGCTACTTTTGGGTCTCCGCATTCTGCTGTTTCTCATTTGTTTACACAGAGTCCAGAGTTGTATCATAGCCAAACACACACTGAGGAACTTTTACACACACACACACACACACACACACACACACACACACTCAACAAACACATTGCAGTCATAAATACTCCTCAGTGAACACATGAACATTCTCCTGTCACAAAGACTAACATAGAGAAGGATGGCTCTACTAAAAGTGTTTTTGTTTCAGTGTTTGGTGTGTGTGTGTGTGTGTGTGCTCACAGGCCTTAGGGACACGTCATCATGCAGCAACAGGCCACACTGATCAGTCATATCTATTGGCAGCTACTGTATTTATTTGAACTGTAATCTCTGGGTTGATCTGCAGTATTGGCTTTTCTGGCTTCAGTTTTGTAATCTGACCCTAAACCTCTGTCTTCTTTCAGTGAAGCTTGCTTGTACGCTTGTTCCGAGTTCAAGAGACTCAAGAGACTCTTTTAACTAAACAAACTAGCTGTCATTTGCATGTTTCAACTAATGCCACCTGTTAATGAGGCGGTGTGCACAACCATTTGGGGATAAGTTTAATTTACAAAAATGTTATCCAAGAGTAAAACTTCACAACTGCAGAGCTTAAAGCAGCTGTACAGTTTGGAAATTAGAAGCGTCTATAATGGTATTGAAAAATTAGAAACTAGTACTACAGCTGACAATTATTTTGGCCGATACTTATATCGCTATTGTAATATGATTATTAAGTGACCCAGACTGGCCAATTACAGTGTAGCATCGGCCAGCTCCGACAGCTATCCGGCTCTGCTCCATAGACTCTTATGCAATTGTTTCAGATTTTCCACTGCTACCGACAATATTTCCTTTGGATAGTGACCTGGATAAATATGGAGTGAGAATGTACTTGCAATGTTCTCTTGTGTATAAGTTATTTTAAAAGATTTCCCACATGACAGCTCCCATTATTTGTCGTGCATTGAGCCGACAGAGGTGGATTTAAGGAATGCAGCCGGTGCTGTGTCAACAGCAGGTGATGTCATAATAGTGTTTTCCTGTCTACATCGTTTACTTCTATGCAGGTTTCACAAAAATAAAGACGCATTCACACGACCACACACAGCTTCCAATAGCTCTGCCGTCTACTCTCCTTATTACTTCAGTCTTTGTTGGCAGCAAAGGGTTATTTCTGCTATTAGTCCTACTGTATACCTATCGGCAGCTGTCATTGTTTTTTCTAGGCTACTGCAGGAAAAATAAGCAAACACAATTTCCTCTACAATGTTTTATGAAATAATGACCAGGGATACAACAAAAATCAGCTTTTTGTGCAAATGTGCAAACTCTCACCAAGGTGCTGTTGGGAGGGCCTGGGAGGGGGCAGTGGTGGAGGAGGGGGGTTGTGGTGCACATTGGCGCTCAGGCCGACACACCGACACTGCCTGCTGCTCCATGACTGACCAGGAGGACACGTCCTGTTGGCTATTGGACACCTTCAACCGAGAGAGACAGAGATGGAAAGATTTAAAGACACATGAAACTTGTTAACCCTCACATCCCCAGAGGTGGTTTCCTGACTGTATACAATAAAAAAAAAAAATCACACATCATTCACATGTTGATTTATCAGATCCTATCTGTATATATTGTGCAGATATTTCTGATATTGTAATGGCTGAATCACAATCTTCCAGTACTTAACGCCTCCATATTATATTGCTACCTCCCAATGACAATAACCACTTGAATGGACAGTAAAACCAGTCTACATGTGCTTTGTGGACTTGGAGAAGGCTTTCGACCGGGTCCCTCGGGGGGTCTTGTGGGGGGTGCTGCGGGAGTATGGGGTGCCGGACCCGTTACAACGGGCG